GCAAAATGAGGTAGATCATGGTCGAATGGCATTGGTCCCGCAACCTGTCATCCCCTCTCCTTCTAGGGTCACCTCGCACCCAGATGGAAACACATATTGGTGGTAGTGGTGCGATGCTGCATACCTATCGGTGGTTTCAGACTAGGATCTTGGAGACCCAAGTACAAATCCCCATTCTGTTATAGATTCTCACTGGGTTACGTCAGTCACACATTCTCAGCCTAACCTACCTCACAGAGTTGTTGTGAGGGCAAAATGGAGGAGAGGAGATTGGTGTGTCCCCACAAGGGAGAAAGAAGGGTATACCTCCATCAATGCAGGCAAAGATGGAGGGCAGATAAAAAAAATTATTATGAAGGAGAGGAAGAAGCAGAAGAAGGTGAGAATATAGAGGTTGGCAGTAAGAGGGGGGGGAAAGGAACAGTGTGGGGAGGGGATAAAGGGCGAACTGAGGTGCCCCCAGGAAGTCCTTTCAGTTTTTCCACTGCACAACTAAGCCATAGCTTTCCCTGGTAGAGTTTTCAGGGGGGGTAAAATTGGGGGGTCATATACATTTAGACTTGTTGGTGGGTGGGAAGAATAGGAGATGGAAAAGGGGAGGGGCTATGGGGGATTTCAGGGAAGGAAACAGGGTCTTATTTCTCTTTCAAAACATTCCTATACTTTATAATTTAACGTTTATACAGAAGTTAGAAAAAACGATCCAGAAATTTATTTGGCAGAGGGAAAAAATGCATATAAAACTCAAACTTCTACAAGAAAAAAATGAAAGAGGAGGGCTTGCATTTCCAGATTGGTGTTTATATTATTATGCAGCATCTCTGGTTTGGATTTGGGACTGGATTCAAAGGACTAATCTTCGAATCCTTGGTTATAATTTACTATCAGGATGGCACGCAATTCTTTGGTATGATAAAAAAGATTCTCACACCCATTTTAATCAACACATATTAAAAAAGGCTTTACTAAAAACATGGATGGAGATTAAAAAAAACTTTTTATAGTAAGATTTCAAAATGGGTTGCCCCCTTAGAGGCTTTTTCTAACCCCAACTTAATGAATGAAGCTAAATCTTCGACATATGAAACTATTTTAGATAATAGAGGTGACCTTAAATCACAGGAAATGCTTAACGCACAAGGTATACTATTAACCTGGTGGGAGAGAAATCATCTGGGGCGATTTCTCACTTGAGCTGCCTCGCGGCACAGCCACCCTTTGCCCCAACACAAGTATGTCAATTTCACACCCGAGGCTGCGGGGCTGCATTTGACCCGCGGCTTCTCCCGATTTCCTCCGCAGTTTTGTGATCCTCAAAAACCAGGATCACGAAACTGCGGAGGAAATCGGGCGAAGCAGCGAGTCAAAGTGCAGCCCCACAGCCTCGGGTGTGAAATTGACATACTTGTGTCGAGGCAAACGGCGGCTGTGCCGCGAGGCAGCTCTAGTGAGAAATCACCCCTGGAGACCAGATACTCTAAAGATAGGCAAACCGTTTTTTTAACAGAGAATTCAGAGCTAGATAAAAAGTTATTGGGTAGTGGAAATAAACTTATCGAGAAACTGTATAACTTTCTGTTAGATTATAAAATGGCTGATGAAGAAGGAAAAGCATCCATGATATCATGGGCAAGTAATATACGGCATAGTATCGAGTTAACCAAACTGAGTAAAATTTGGCAGACGCTAAAATATATGAAAGCAGTTTCTATGAAGGAAAATCTTTTTAAGATGTTTCACTGATGGTATTTAACCCCTGATAGACTTGCACGCTATTACTCTAATTCTTCTGATAAATGCTGGAAGTGTAAAGCTAAAATAGGCTCCTTTTATCATGTATGGTGGACTTGTGAAAAAATCAAAACATTTTGGAAAGAAATTCATAACATTATAGTGCAAATAATGAATATTAATCTTCCATTTGAACCTGAAATGTTATTATTGAATATTATGCCGGATATATTACAGAAGAAAGTTGTTTATCTATGTACACATCTGGTAACAGCAGCAAGAATGATACTTGCTAAAAATTGGAAGAAAGAAGATTGTCTGACTCATGAAGACTATGTAACTAAGATTCTAGAAGTAGCAGAAATGGACAATCTGACCTTGAAAATACGTGGAAAAGAAGATGGGACTTTTCAAAATATATGGCGAAAATTCTATGAGTGGTTGGACTCACACTCATAGAAGGTTTAAGCTTTCCTGATGAACGTACAGTCAATAACTTACGTATATCCGGAGAAGGATCTTATTTTAATCAATTGTTTATTTGTTAGTTGGTTTGAGGTTGGAATTCAAAACAATAAAAATAAGGGATTTGCTCATTTTAAAAAAGGGGGGGAACAGTGAGGAAGGCCCCCCTGTATGTCTTTTTGGGGGGCCCACTTGTCGATATATCAAATTCTTAATATGGCCAAAGATATGGATTCTTAAATCTGGAGATTACAACCATGAACAGACAAGACAGCTCTTTCTATAAACCTGAGAGAAGCCCCAAGTTTGCAGAGAAACCTGATTTTTTTAAAAAAATAAACATTTGGGATCAATTTTTTTTTGTTCAGTCGCAGAGTTGAGTCTGACTCTTCGCGACCCCATGGACCAGATCCCACCAGGCCTTCCTGACTTCTGCTGTCCTCTGAAGTTTGCTCAATTTCATGTTCGTTGCATCTATGACACTGTCTAACCATCTCATCCTTTGCCGTCCCCGTCTTCTTTGACCTTCAATCTTTCCCAGCATCAGGGTCTTCTCCAGTGAGTGCTCCCTTCTCATTGGGTGGCCAAGGTATTTGAGCTTCAGTTTCATTATCTGGCCTTCCAGGGAACAGTCAGGGTTGATTTCTTTTAGGATTGACTGATTTGATCTCCTTGCAGTCCAAGGGACTCTCAAGAGTCTTCTCCAGCACCATAGTTCAAAAGAATCTATTCTTCGGTGCTCGACCATCCTTATAGTCCAACTCTCGCAGCCATACATGACTACTGGGAATACCATTGCTTTGACCATGCAGACTTTTGTTGGCAGGGTGATCATTACCCACCCCCAAATAACTGAAGCAGTGCTAGGCAACCACAACAGTATTGCCAGTTATAAGCCTTGGTGTCTATCAATAAAAAGAAGGGGGAGAGGGCAGGGCCATTTCCAGAGTTGTTGTCATCTCTGAGAGAGAACCTTTCAGGACCAGGTCTCACAGCAACCACTAGGTGACTTGCTACCATGCAACATGCATGACTCACCCAGACCCAGCCGCTTCCTGTTGCTCAACAGAAGCCACCCCATGAAAACCAGTGTGGTCCAGTGTTTAGAGCATCAGGATAGGATTCTTGTGACTGTGGTTCAAATTCCCACTCTGCCAGGATAGCTTTCTGGGTGACTTTGGACCAGTGACACCTCTAATTCTACTTGGTGAGCTATTGGCATTAAAGCTGTGAGGGAGCGATTTGGCTGCTGCATACATTAGTTTGCGTGGGAGCCTTCCTTCCAGAGCTAAGACAAAAAGGTGTGAGCTGGAGGGTAAAAAACTGAGAGCTAGCTCCACACTATCTCAGCTTAGAGGGAACACTGGTCCACATGCAATGTCCCTATTTAGGGGCAGGGTTTCCCCCACCGGCCAGCTGGTCTGTGGTGGGGAGAAGCCCCCGAAAGTGGGGTATCCACCGCTCAGACTTTGGGGCTGGCAACCCTATACCTGTATGACCTTTCAGGTTCCCCAATGTGCAATTAGGCCTGGTGCTTACCACTGCACAATTGACCCATAGTTTTTCAGGCAGAGGCCGCTGTGGGGAGAAGAGGTATGTTTAATTCATAGAATCATAGAATGTTAGAGTTGGAATGATACGGATGATAAGAAGTTGTTCAGGGTGGTGAAGACCAGGGAGGATTGTGAGGCACTCCAAAGGGATCTGTCAAGGATGGGCAAGTGGGCGTCAACATGGCAAATGGGGTTCAATGTGGCCAAGTGCAAGGTGATGCACATTGGAGCCAAAAATCCTAAATATAAATACACATTGATGGGGTCTGAACTGGCAGAGACTGAGCAAGAGAGAGATCTTGGAGTTGTAGTAGATAACTCACTGAAAATGTCGAGACAGTGTGTGACTGCAATAAAAAAAATTTTTGAACTGTACAAATATTTTTTTGAAAATTGCATTTCCCCCCCCCCCCCAATTTGCTAATTTTGTGTCTGGTTGTGCATATAGAAAGCCCTGCCTGTATATTGCCTCTATGATTCCAACAAAGCATTTCTAAAACTTCCTTATTTTTTCCTTTAGCTGTGTTATTTCTTCACAGAATAAAGACTTTTGTTTATTCACTGATGAGATTTATTTTCAAATGTTTGTGTGTGTCTCTCTCTACTATATCTGTTCTGAGATAAATATTTATTAATGCTGATCTATGATCTGCCATGTTTGTTTGGCAGAGACTTTAAGTCTTTTCATCATTTTATCTATTCCTTCTGAACACAAAACTGTCCTCCAGAGTGTTATCCTTCCCACTGCAGTATATCACCATGTGGTAGCATATTTTTGAATCGGGGGTTTGTCGCAGTTCCCTCTTTTTATCTCTCTCTCCCAAAACCTGAATATACATATTCCTGTTACCATTGAGCAAACATCTTCAGTAGGATCATTTAAATAATATCCAAGTATGTATAAACAAAGGGAAATAAATGTCCACTTATGTTAGAATCAGAGCAGTGATTTTTTATTGATGTCTGACTTTGAGAGAGTCCCCTCATTGTGTGAAATTTACCTAGAAGATTCTGCCTTTTTTAAATTAAAAAAAACCCCAATGCAATCCTAAATAGAGTAAATGGACTTATAACTGTGTGGCTGCTTAGAATTGCACAGTTCATATGATAAAAATCTGTTAATAACTGCTATGTTAACACAAAAGCTGACTTCAAGTAAATAAAACTATGTTTCTTTCTTTCTGGGAAAAGTTTCATTCTAATTATGAATGTGTTCTCAAAGGGCCGTTTCGTGAACTCTCGAAGAAGAGTATGAATGTTTCTGAGACCGTGTTGTTCAGTGGTTCCTCACTAGCATCTCAGGTTCATGCTGCTGCCGTTAACGGACACAAGAGTGCTCTTCTAAAGCAAATAGCAGGTAAAAAAAATGTTCCTTTTGGGGATGTGTCCAGTGTTGTCTTTCCTTTGTTGTGTTTGCCCTCCTGTCTCACTGTCATTGATTGACTTTCAAAGCCATATTAGCTGAATACTGACTGACTGCTGTTAGTTGAATGGCTAAGGTGGATGGATTTTGTAAGCCTTCTATCATTGGTGGTAGTGGAAAGTGCCATTAAGTCGCAGCTAATTTGTGGCGACCTCACAGGGTTTTCAAGGCAAGAGATGAACAGAAGTTGTTGCCATTGCTTGCCTCCGAGTAATGACCCTGGACTTCTTGGAGGTCTCTCGTCCAAATACTCAGCAGGGCCAACCCTGCTTAGCTTCCAGGATCTGATGAGATTGTGCTGGCCTGAGCCATTCTTTCTCTTCATAATAAAGTCAACTTGATTTGCCCTATCAGTATGAAATACAGCGTGCAAAATATACTTGGTAAATGGTACAATCTGACCAAAATTCAGAAATATCTGTCAAAGATTGGCTGAGTTATACAGGATTTTTTTTTAAATGTTGCTTTAATTTACAGTAGTCTCTGTTTTTTACTGTTTCTGTGCCCACCCAAAGCAATTTGCCCAGGGACCTGTATTTGGACATTGCAGCAAACTGAAGTTTGATAAAAAAAGGAAGCTTTTGATCATGTGAATGAATGATCATGAGAGCATGGCAATTGCCACTGTCACAAACAGAGGTTTTTTGTGATGTCTGTTCAGCACTTTTTAATGCAGCAAAAGACAGTACATACAATTTAAATCAAAATACTTGTATTATGGGGGAGGGACCTAACTGTGGTACCCAACAACTCTGCCAGCTTCCAGTTGCTAACCACCCTAGTCCCTGAAAGCGGGGGTCCCCAGCATGGTGGGTCCCCAGCTGCCCTGAGTCTGCCTTGGCGGGGAGGGCAGGGGATAAATTGAACTAATAAATAAATAAAATGGTGCCCATGGGTGCCATGATGCCCACTAACACCATTCCCAGTGGCCGCCAAGTGCTTTTAGGAAGTGAGGGGGACCAGGTAGGGGTTTTGCCCAGCAGAGCTTCTGACTGGAGATTTGATTGGCTGTGCAGATTATTTAAAGCGTTGCTTTGGCAGCAGCTGTTACCACAGCACAAGGTTCTTCACTGTGTGACTGAAGTTAAGCTGCGGCAATCATTTTATGGGTGGCTCTGCCTCCTGTCGCAGCCATTTTGTGGCAGCCGTTTGGTCACTGTGTCAGAATCCCAAAAGTGCCCGCGGGCCCAAAGAGGTTGGCGACCCTGCCCTAAAGGGTTAGTGTGCACTTCCTTAGTACTTGGCTGAGAGGACCAAGACCTGGGGTGAGATTAGGTTTAGTCACTGTGCCCACGATGCCATGTCAGAATCCCAAAAGTGCCTGCGGGCTCAAAGAGGTTGGCGACCCTGCCCTAATGGGTTAGTGTGCACTTTCTTAGTACTTGGTTGAGAGGACCAAGACCTGGGGTGAGATTAGATTAGAATTTGCCCACATCTAAGCAGTATGTAGAATTCATAGTTCATCTCTGCTCTTTTGGTAGAACATGAAGCATGGAATCCAGGGAACATAGGTGCTAATAAATTAAAACTGAAGACTCTTAACAAAAGACGTCTGTAGTTATAAGAAATTTGAATGCAAAATTGACGCTGTGGAAGCACTTGCTTTAAGAAAATGCCTTAGTACGGGTTCTGTTCTGTTACTTACAGCCTTATACTTGAGACATAGGTACGAGTATAAATTTACAAAGAATTTAACAGGGTATATTTAATGTTTAGCTTTATTCATTGACAAGTTAAATTGATTTTAATTTTATTATATTTTATTTTTGAGGCAAGCCATCTCAAAATTTGTTTTGAGATCATGTAATATAATTTTAACTAAATAAGTAATATACCTCACTCTCTGGGACATTATCTAATGCAGTGTCATGTCTCTAATGTATGTGTGAGAGAGAGAAATTGCATATCGAGGATTTGGGAGTGATTCACATTAAGTAATCTCAGTTCCATATTGGTCAAATGTGCAAATGTTTTCTGCTTGCTTAATTGCTTGGCTATAAAAGCCATATGTGACTTCAAGTTTAGTCTGGCTTTGCTTCCTCCCAGTGATCTGACTCTGCATGTAATATGAGATCTCTGCCATGTTCAAATGATTTGCAGTGTCCTGAGCCACACTAAGACATCACAAACAAGCTATATTCTATGTTAACAAGAGCAAGCTGGGATATGCTCCCTGCCCCCAGTGCACTGTATCAGGATTGAGAGATTTAAAGAGAACTATAATTTATTGCAGTTGGCCACTTCAGCAAAACTACAGTTTGCTTCTTGCCTGTATACCAGGATTCAGAGTTAACAATTTGTTAAGGTGAGTCAGATGCCATGAGAAATAGCACTTAGTTCTAAAAGCAGGAAGTCTTAAATCTCAGTGCAGCATTTGAAGAAAGGAGACTTCCGAGGCTTGTTCTTGGACCAAAGAAACCATGGTTTGCTTGGCCATCTGGATGCAGCCTCTGCCTCAGTTTTATCCTTCTGCTCAGAGCTGGATGGAGATATACTATGGTGTGGTTTAGACATCACAGAAGAGTAGCCATGCTGAATCAGACCATCTGGCCCAGCATCCTGTTTCCAAAAGAGGCTAGGCAGATGCCACAAGGGATGCACCGAGCTGTGTTCATAGGCAACAGTTCTCGCTTGCTGACTGCTCCTTAGCATCTGACAGTCATAGGCATTCTACCTCTGAACCAGGAAGTCCCATGGGGCTCTCATAGCGAACAGCCAAAGATAAACTTATCCTCCATGCTTCTGTCTCCCTTTTACATCCACCTAAACTAACGTTGCTAACCTGGAGATCTCCCAGAATTACAGCTGATCTCCAGAGGATGCTGCTGAGGTTGCAGTCCTCCCCAAAGCCTGCCCTCCAAGGCTCCATCCCAAATCTCCAAAAAATTTCCCAGGCCAGAATTGGGAACCCTAATCTAAATGAGTGGCCATCACATCTTGTGGCAGTGAGTTACACATCAACTACCTGTTGTGTGAACATAAGAGAAGCCAATGTTGGATCAGGCCAGTGGCCCATCTAGTCCAACACTCTGTCACACAGTGGCTACAAAAAACCAAGTGCCATTAGTTGGTCCAGCAGTGGGGCCAGGACACTAGAAGCCCTTCCACTGTTGCCCCCCCCCCAAGCACCAAGAATACAGAACATCACTTGCCCCAGCCCGAGAGTTCTTGCCTATACCTTGTGGCTAATAGCCACTGATGGACTTCTGCTCCATATGCCTATCTAATTCCCTCTTGAAGCTGTCCATGCTTGTAGTCGCTGCCACCTCCTGTGGCAGTGAATTCTATGTGTTAATGACTCTTTGGGTGAAGAAGTACTTCCTTATATCTGTTCTAACCTGACTGCTCAGCAAATCTCAGTGTACTTCATTGTGTCTGTCTTGAACATGGAACTATACTTTATTTTAACTGTGGTTGGTTTGTGAAACCAGGATTTAACCCAAACAAATCTTGGCTTGTCCCAACAAATGTAGGTTTTATTGGCTTCTCCTGCCCTTCCATGAAAAGACCCAGCTGGTATCCCAGTTGGCACTCTGGTGAGGACAGCACCAGGGAACAAGTCAGGATTAAACCATGTGTGCACTTCCTTAATACTTGTTCGTATGTCACACAAAACCACAGGTAAGATTAACTGTGGTGATTCAATGAACTTCAAACCATATTTTCAAATCCTGGTTTGACATATCCTAGCTAACCAAAGTTAGTGGAAGGGCCTGCATTCAGATTACTGCACTGGTCATTAAACCGTGGTTTAGTGTGTCATCCAAACTAAGATTACACATTTAGTTAAAACTATGAAAATAACCATAATATTGATAATATGACTGTAGGACAGCAAGCCCCAGCTGTCATGCACCTTCCCTTGGCCTCAGACAGAGAAGAGGGGGCTGCGTACCACCCTATTCTACCTCCTGTCCTCTAGCTCTACTCACTTCTGAGCTGGGAGGCAGAGCTGGTCTGTCCTCCTTGGCCTCCCCCTCAAGCCTTTTGAAGGCCCTAGCCAGGCTTGGGGCATGCCCAGTGGCCTCCACCCAGGAGCTTTAAGGGGGTGTGGCCAAACTCATGAGGGACCAATAGTGCCTTCTGAGCAATTTCCGCCCCATTGCTCCCTTATCCAACCCCAGGATGGAGCTTCCCAACAGCTGGCCATCAAAGTTTTGGGTTGCCTGACTATTAAAGGGCCAGCTGCCATTGATCAGCTGGCTGGCGTGCAGACCTGTATGTGCATCTGTAACAGACCTGTAGCCACGGAGGGCCCTTGGGGTGACGCCCCCTCCTGAATGTGCCCTGCCCCTCCCGGCTGCCTCCCCTGCTGGTCCCAGGAGGGAAAGGGAGTCTGGGGCGACCGCACATATCGCTGTGCCACACTCCAAGTTCTTGGACAGAAGCTGGTTGGTCAGGAGGGGGCAGGCCCTCCTCTCCCAATGCCCTTGCAGCTTCGTAGTTGGCTGGCCCTGGATGTGGAGCTCACTGCCAGCAGTGAGGCTGTGCACAGAAACTGGTTGGCTGGGAGGGGGCAGGCCCTCCTCCCCCACTGCCCTTGCAGCCACCAGCAGCGAGCTCCACATCCGGCGCCAGCCAGCCATGAGGCTACACAAAGAAAGAGAGGAAGGAGGGAGGGAGCCTGGGGTGACTGCACGCTTGCTGGCAGCTGGGCAGTGTATCTATTTAAACTTCATGTGGCACGCTGCCCTCCTGGAGAAGTGCAGTGCTCCCTTCCTTTCTGCTCCAGCAGGCAGGTGAATGAGTCCAGCACTCCCCTCCAGAAGATTTTTGGTAGGGGTGCAATTAAACTCCCTGCTCCCGGTCTTTGCCCCCCACCGGATATTTTCTGGCTATGGGCCTGGTCTGTAACCTCACTGGGCTAGGTGGATACCAGTCTTGACCACATGGGGTCTGAGAAGGAGGGGAACCTAGTGTTCTTCCCCGAAAAT